ACAATAACTATTGGCTTATTTAAATATAGAACTGTTTTTGAATGCTGTAGTCATCATTTAATTGTGCATTAAACATTGTTACTAGCAATGTTGTAGATACTGTATTGATATACTGTATGTGTTGTATACATTATTATATGACATTGTAAATAAGTTTAATTCTAATTATTAGAACCATAAAGTTAATGAAATGATGGCTATCTGGCAATGCATTGTAGGACTGAAAGATGGCTATTTGGCAATGCATTGGTGTGTGACTGGTGTGAGTGGTGTAGGACTGGTGTGCAGTGGTATAGAGTTTGGTGTTATTTGAGGCCATTTAGCACAGCATCTGATATGTGGGTCACAGACTCTGAGAGACTCACTATTGGAGTCATACAGTGAAGCACCGCATACACCGATACTGCAGGCATACTGTACTTCGTGTACAGCTGTAGCGCTGAGTGAGTGTACAGTAGTGTTGAGTGCTTTGTTGTGTTGTTGTGCTCTTGTATTGAGTGTTGTTTGGTTCGTGTATATCGTAGTCAGAGTTCAATCCCCTCCTAATATGGCGTCACTTGAAGTGAACTCAACATCAAGTGATGACTAAATGTTGTGTTGATTAGTGACCAGACATACCATCCATTGATGACTACATCGACCAGTGATTGGTTGACCGCAACACTGCTTTCGCCCTTCCATTGGTCACCAAATGGTCACCAAATGGTTGCCTAAGATTGAGACCAATTGTAGCCAACATTGCATTCAATGACTGTTTTGATATGAGTTGTCAACAAAAGCATTGAATACACGATTCTTCATATATGTTGTGATAGTATAGCCATTACAGCCATTACTAGTGTTGACAAGGATTGAAGTGTTCACTCATTGGTCGAGTCTATTGGATGCAAACCATGCAAACCATCGCTCATTTGATCCATACGTTTACTCCGGAAGTGAGACTCAATACAAGTGCGTATGACTTATGACTTACACTAATGGCACTAATGGTCACTATTGATGACCACTAATGCTAATAATGCTATCATTGTTTACAATACAATCAATACAACCAATGCTATCACTTAATTACAGTTTGCATGCAATCAATGCAATCAATGCTATCATTATATCTGTTGAATGATTACATTATGTTTGTGTTGATGTACTGATAGGTTAAGCCATTTGGTGGACACGATTGCCACGACTGGAAGCGATGCCACTTTCGAGGACTCGTTCATTGATATCCAACATAAACGGTGTACCGAATGAGTCATTCTTACCACAAATCTCCGATAATAAGACAAATGGAGTGCATATGAACGGTGCGGTAGTGTTGCCGCCCATTACTAAGACATTCACTTTTGACGGATTGAAGGCTTCCCGAGACCGGCCAGAGATGGCTCCCGACTCTGCGTCACTTCAGTCATCGGTGGTCTACGAAGACCAACAACCGATGCATACGAACGGCGATGGAGTGTCTCTTCCGCGCGCAGCCGTTGTCAACGGCCAGCAGTTGTCTGAAGTGAGTCCCACATCGGGATCGGTGTCTAACGAAGAGATGGACAAGAGTTCGAGTGTGAGTGGGAATGGAGTGAAGTCGAAGCCTCTGGTGGTGACACCGGAACAGGTGATGAAACTGTACGCCTATAAGTTGACGCCATATGAACACCACGAGGTGTTCGGTTACTCTCAGATCTACTTCATTGGTGCGAACGCTAAGAAGCGTCAGGGAGTGATCGGTGGCCCCAATAACTGTGGCTATGATGACGAACACGGCTCGTACCTACACGTCCCGCACGACCACATCGTCTACCGCTACGAAATGCTGAAGATTATAGGAAAGGGAAGCTTTGGACAAGTGATCAAAGCTTATGACCACAAGAGTCAACAATACGTGGCCTTAAAGATGGTTCGCAATGAGAAGCGGTTCCACAGACAGGCACAGGAAGAGATCCGAATTCTGGATCACATGAGAAAACAAGACAAAGACAATGCTATGAATATCATCCATATGTTTGAGAACTTCACATTCCGTAACCACATGTGTATCACTTTCGAGCTCTTGAGTGTCAATCTCTATGAACTGATTAAGAAGAATAAGTTCCAGGGATTCAGCATTCAATTGGTCCGCAGATTCGCCTATTCTATACTCAGATGTCTGGAAGCGCTTTATAATAACAAAATAATTCATTGCGATCTCAAGCCTGAAAACGTATTACTCAAACAACAGGGAAGGTCTGGCATCAAAGTGATTGATTTCGGATCGAGTTGTTTTGAACACCAACGCGTCTACACTTACATCCAGTCGCGCTTCTATAGGGCGCCCGAAGTGATTCTCGGCGCCAAATACGGGATGCCTATCGATATGTGGAGTTTGGGCTGCATTCTGGCCGAGTTGGCCACCGGTTACCCACTATTGCCCGGTGAGGACGAGTTCGATCAGTTGGCCTGCATTATAGAACTGTTAGGAATGCCTCCGCAAAAACTCTTGGATCAGTCCAAGAGAGTGAAGAACTTCATCAGTTCTAAGGGTTATCCGCGTTATTGTACGTCCACTCCATTATCGGATGGGAGTGTAGTGATGAACGGCGGCCGTTCACGTCGTGGCAAAATGCGAGGCCCGCCCGCCAGCAAGGAATGGGCCAATGCTCTCAAGGGTTGTGATGACGAGTACTTCATCGACTTCATCAAGAAGTGTCTGGAATGGGATCCGTCGACACGAATGACTCCATACACAGCTTTGCGACACTCGTGGCTGACTCGTCGCCGACTGCCTCGACCGCCACAAAACAGTGATAACTCGACTGTGAGTGAGTCCTCTCCCGTTCGACTCCATCATAACTATCATTCAAATAACAACAACTCTTTGGTGACCACAAATCGTGTGCGGAAGTCAATGGTCGACGACGTGTTGCTGGGAGAGAGTGATGGCACATACCTGACCAGAATCTGGGACCCAAACAATCCCGACAACAAATACGACTCAAGCAGTTCAACACTCGGACGCAAAGCCGACAGAAATGTGCGCAAAGACAACAGAATTGTTAATACAATCAACAATAAGTTACATAAAGAAAAGGTGCGAACGGAGGACACGGTGTCTGCAGTGACCGCACAGAACGGCCGCAACTGGACTAATGAAGGATATGTTTCGGTCATTAGGTTTAAATGATGTTTAGTTTAGTTCTAGTGAATTGACTCTCAAATCCATTTAATCACTCAATACAACACTTGAACCGACATATTATGCAAATAGTGTCCAATATTTGCCCAAAAGGTCGCATCGTATGCATTGTATTGACAGTCATATCGATTCACTCACTAATGTATTTGTAATGAACATTGTTTTGTGATTTCTCTCTACACTACTATTACACTCTTGTATAGACTTATTATGCATTCATTACTGTTATATACTGTTGTATACATTGATTTGTATTAATTATGACTATAATATTAAGGTTAAGCTGACTCTCTTATAGACTGTCCACTCGCCACCAGATAATGGCTTACAAATAATGTCCATTTTGTAGACTTATTTATCAATTACACAATTCCAACACAACATTGTACATAAAGATCACATTTTAAACATGGTTTTCATAGTGTTGCATGTGATGGCCCGCACACAGACACACAATACTGATCACACCATATATTAATAGTGAATACTCCATATAATGAATAGTTGGCTATAACTTGTAACCAACAGATTCTCAGCTAAAGGGCAACCAATAGTACAGTGAGTGTTAGGCTTTTAACAAAATGATTGCTAAATTCAATGTGATGTCCATTTTATTGATCCGTGTATTTATTGACTATTGTATAACATTATAATTGATAGCATATTATTTTGTCTGTTTTAAGCACTTTATTATTTAGTAGTTCATGAAAATGAGCTTTAAATGTAAAGAAGTGTCACATTTAGCAGAAGGTAACAATGAATTGATAATTATATAGATATAAATGTTAGACAATTGTGTTGCTTTTGATACATTGATGTATACTGTATGAGCATTATGACCATGCACTATTTGCAATCATTGGACTAATCACTGTACAAACTATTGGCCACTCATTTGCTTAGCCTTAAGATTAGTTATGAAGAAAATAACGATTGAATCTCTGACAACATTTCACACAAATAAGTTGTAATGATTATAATTATAATACATGTATATTGTAATGACATTAATGTCCAGTTGTATAGAATTAATTGAACATTTGATTTATAAAACGATAAGATTCTTACAATAGAATTTTGAAGCGTTGACAACAATATGTACGGTATTATCATTTTGTTAATTATTACAAAAGAGACACAAATCACTTAATGGTTTGAAAACTTTTATTAATTGTGTAATATATTGATATAATCACAAAGTTCTGCATTTTAAGCCTTAATTTTAATAAATTATTAGCCTTTTTATAACTTGTATTGATTGGAATATTGTTATAATGAGCCACTATTTAGGTCTATATAGTGGATACACTAAATACAATTAAATTTTAGCTTAATCTAAATTGGATTCTAATTATAATTGTTTGTCGCAAACAAGAGAGTTGTATAATAGCTTTACAAACGTTGGAACATGTATTGGATGTACAGATTGTCCCATCATTTTTACAATAAAATTTTAATTTAATTCAAATTAATTT